TATGACTCCTTAGCCTCCCGAGATTTGTACAGATGTTTATTGTGCTAACGTTTCGGCGAACATCGCCTTCTTCGGGGGCTTTTGACAGATTAAAGTTTCACCGGGCACTCACGGAATGGAGGGGGAAGGGGAGGAACAACAAATTTCTGAGAACCCTGCGCTTGCAGTAGCTTGTTTCGAACAAGAGCAATGCATTAGGAGAGATTGCGAAATCAATCTAGAAGAAGTAAAAAGTGAATTAGGCTAAAGGGCTTAGTGGTAAGTTACGCGGTCGAAGCGGAGCCCCAGGTTGCCTATGTGGAGCACCAATTTTACTGCGCAACAAAGCTAAATTAGGTTCCCTCTTTCAACTACGGATTTCACAGCTGAACTCCGGATTCTGCAGTTGCTCTTCTGTCGGAATAAGAAGAATTTGTAGGCACAACGCAAGTCAGGACTACTTTACTTCTAAGCCCTTCTCGTGTTATGACAGCGATTACAAGAATGGTGCACTCTCCTCGAAATACCACAGCTGAGGAACAGGAATTAGAGGAAGGTTTCATTTGTGTAGCTGAGCAGTGATATGAAGCTGTTTCCAATTCTTATGCCTGCACTTCCTTTGAAATCGCTTTACGGTCACGTAACCCATTTTTGACATCCTGAACTCACCCAAGGTAATGAACACCTGGCTAAGCGGGCCGACTATGCCGGCCCCGCATACTAGATGGAGGAGCCCCTGACGACAATTAGGCAATCCGACTAGTACTTGATAGAAGTGTTAGAGAATCAAAAAGACAACCATATTATGAAAAAAGGCTGACAAAGCAATCGTTGTCCGAGAATTTTTCGAGTATACTTCAGAAAGTGGGAAAAATTTCTCTCACATGGGTGGCTGTTCCGCGTGTAGCGGGTGTTTTGCATTCCCACTATTTTTTTTGTAATCTAATATCTCTCGTTTCAATTAGACCTGGCAACTTCTGTGAAGCTGCGAAATAGTGCGAGTGGACCACAATACATGCCTCACTAGGTTCCTTGCACAAACTCAGCTGACTACCATTCGATGTACACACAAGCCAAATTGTGCCTAAAACTGTTTAAAGTTATTATGTTAACAGCGCCGTATCATGGTTATTGCAGTGATGGGATACGTGTTTTATCCTCCTGGCACAGGCGGCTTTAGAACCTGGATTGGATTGCACTGGAAAGGAAGATCGACATGGGATTGGGTTTGGGAGAGTGGTTCCACTTGCCCTTTCAGGAGGTGGGGGAAAAACCAGGTAACTCCTGACAACTGGCACGGTACAGGGAACCCCGAAGAATGCACTCATGTGAGTTACTTCCCCTTCACTGGTAACTTCATGAAATACAAGTTTTGCAGTTTTGGAGCACTTTGTACAAGCATGTATGGGATTCATGGAACGACCTGGACTGCGCTGAGAGCTGGCATTTCATTTGTGAAACAGATGATTGTACCCAACTCTAATTTTTGAGCTCACAACATATGCTGTAATTTTCGCTTGTTAAGTTTTTTTTATTTATTATGTAAGGTGCTAGAAAAAAAACTTTTTTACTCTATTTATTGTTGCCGTCAAACCAATTGAGAGTGACCACTGGTAGTTTTTTGCGGGATTTTTCTTTACATTCTAACAAAGTGTTGATTATGGAGCTTGCTGTTGTTACACGGCCTTCTGTCCCTTGTGGTGAAAGTGGCCGAGTTAACTCGCACGGCTTGAGCAAGCTGCTACAAAACAGTTTGAGTTCGCCAACTGAAAACTTCACATTGAAGGCACTTCGCGATGATCCAGCGAGAAGCTCGTAGGTGACGTGGTAGGAAAACAAACTTGTGTGTGCTGATTGACTCGCTCACAAAAACAAAAAAGAAACCGTCGAAAGGCTTCAACTAGGACTCTACCCGCGCTAGGTGAGAGACAAATAATCAGTGTGGATATCGAGAGAGAGGTCAAGGAAACAGACAGAGAGCACGCAAATACAGGGAGGGGGGAACCAGGAGAGGGGCTAAAAAAGACACTTTTCTCCCTTGACCTTCGAGGTGCTATAAGTTACACTTTATTAAATTCTGATCGCACATTTCTACCACCATGTTAACCCATTGCGTACCGCGTGCTGCACCATGTGCAGCACGCTTCGTTTGAACTTACTAAGCAATGTTCGCTGACCCAAGAGTGTCAGTACAGTTTGAGAAGTCTTCCGGAAAGAAATATATGTGTCGGAAATTGCAGGACCAAACTAGAGCTGAGTTATCGAAATTTTTTGGGAAATTCTTCAGCTATTATATCCTTTGTCTTATTTCTTAGTAACCAGTCAAGCCAAAATTCTGGCTGTGACTCCACTAAAAATTCGCAAAATAGTAAAGCTGAACAATTTATAAACATATTACGTCCTGCTTCCAATCCTTCTTGAATTTATCAACCTTTTTGTCAATTTCCGCATGTTTGTAGCCCATCGCGTTTATCACGTAATGGTATCCAACTTTACTTATCATAGTCATGCATACAAGTGTAATGTATAATACGAAGTATATGCATTATTTTTATGTCATACGTATATGATAAAAATCACATTTGTTTATACTCGGCGCGCCACGAGTCGCGTCGACAAAAAGGCGTCGGCCACAGGCGCCCGTTTTCGCGAAAACGCCGCGGTACGCAATGGGTTAAAGAGCATATCAAATACTATCATGATACTTCGCCACAGCCTTCTGGACGAGCGCAATCGAGAGATTCTGCCACGCGACCTGCCTGAGATCGGCGAGATCGTTGATTTCTCCGCCACTGTAGACCACCCTATTGAACTCCGCCCGAACCAGGTAATTGAGAGGGTTTGGGTCAGGTGAGCTGCTGAGATATTCCACTTGGTGGCACCTGAACCTGTAGCAGGTTTTCCAGTCATGTCGTTTGGAGAATAAAGTCATTTGAAGGCAAAATCTTCCTTTGGAATGCACTTTTGTTGTGTATGCTTTTCAAATCAAAGAAAGAAGAAGACAACAGCCAGAAGTGATCTCTATGGAATGGTTCGCAATGGCTCCATCAGTTCAGAATCATTACATAACGACATTATCAGGGACAAGTATTATGCAAAATAGCTTTGAAGTGCACAGGGACCACTTTCGAAATGCAAAAGAGCACACGCATCAAGGATCCAAACCCTCGACCACGCATCCGTGAGCTCCTACGACGTATCCACTCGGCCATGCTGCCACGATCTCGTCAGCCTTACGCCGCCAATTTGTAGTGTATTCTCCCCCAAAAAAGCTCCGTAACTTCTTTCTGGGAGGTCCGCAGCAGATATGGAAGACGGTTTCGTAATTCCCGTCCGAAGACCTTTCAGCCGGTATACATTTCATTTCAAATGGCCACTTCGACCTACCATCCTTCCCTTGTGAGCCATGCGCGCAGAGTGCGCGTCAGCCAAACTGGTACAAAATATCTGAATAAATCATTGCGAATCTATGTGCTGCTATAGACTTTCTGTAAGCACATGTCGAGCAGATCTTTTTTGTTTAGGATGTCAAACAATGTTCCTAAGGTATAAGGCACAATTATTTGGTGTAAGGTTATATTCTTTGGAAAAAGTGCCGCGCAGCGACTGCTCAGATGCGCCGAATTCTGCCCTGCCAAACGTTCTAATCCTACACCTCTTGGGGATTAATACCACTTGCCTTAGAAAGCGCGGTCTGCGATAGGAAGCGTAGGTAGTGCAGGTGTTGAACCATAGAAGAAAAGTCGCGCAGGACTCTCCAGTGTAAAGGAGTGGCACAAGAAAGGGTCGGTAAGGCCTTCTATGAAACCCTAGCCTAGGTACAAGATGAAGAAACCGTAACTGACGACATATCCCATCTCATACCTTATATGAACACAACGCTCCTTCACAGCTTCCATTTCATACTAGTGATCCGGTAGCACGCTCTTCATTGGGAAGCGGAACTCAGAGGCTTAGGGAGGGGGTACTCTGGAGGAGTAGTCACTGGAAAAGGGCGGTGTTACTGGAATAGCTTCGCGTCTCAGCTCTTTTGCTTCACAGCTTTCCGCCGTGGAAACTGGCACAGAGCTGTCAAACTACTTTAAACTGGCACGGAGCTGCCAAACAACTTTCTAATCCTCTGCATTTTGTAGGTCATCACAGATAAACTAGTAAAAAGAGGCTTTGGTGGTGCAGTGGCGAGGGGCAACTCAACACGAGTGCAGTCCTGTGGTAAACTCCCGGACCGGCATCTGAGCTGTGCCAAGCATGCCTTCTATTCTACGCGCAGTACACCGCCACCAAATTTTATGGGAAGATACGAACACTAATTTTTACATCGACCGGCAGCCGTACGTCTTTGTATAGGCCTTATCGCATTCAAAAACCCACTACGAATCTAAACAGAACATAAGCCCTGCTAGTTGTGAATGAGAGGCGTGCCAGGCGAAATGGCTTCGGAGCGGAGCCAACCCCTTTTCTTTTTTCTTCCCTTTCGGTAAGCTACAACGACGTACCATAACGCTGCTATCAGCCGTTTACACCAGTTTTTACAACTCGTTGTACGTTGTTCTCTCAACCAGTGCAGGAGGACGAGCTGGGAAACGCCAAACCCAGCCTCACTGGCACACGCCACATCATTCGCAGTGAAGAAGAGTTTCTTTCTCAGAGTGCGTGCCGCATCTTGAAAAAGAGGCTGATCAGAGGCGATGACCCATCCGTTACCCGTCGTTGTCCTGTGTAGGGATAGCCTATTCGTTCTGAAGGAGGGACTAATGAGTGGCGCAGCCTGGAAGGAAGCGGTCGAGACTTGAACGCTTCATTTTTTATTACTCAACCATATTCCTACCTTTCTTGTTTAGCGGAGAGTACTGCTCTGCGGAGGATTTCTCTGTTAAGGATGACTAAGTGCTGTAGAAGGTACTATTTGCATTCCATTGATAAATATTTTCAATGTCCTCTTATCTCTGCCGGCGAAATTGCTATTCACAATCGCCCGTCGATATCAGTTGTACGTTTCGCCCTTCATCGATTCAAGCTGCATGATGGTAGGTTTCTTTCTTCCTTTGAGAACCCTTCTTTGAAACTAATAGCCCATTGACTCATTTAGGGGAATGGGGGGCACATTGACTCACTTGGGACTGAAATTCATTGAAAATGTGAATCTTATACGGCCTGGTAACTTCAAGCTCAGAAAATTCAGACCACCCATTATAAAGACATAGCTAGGATCAGAAGAGTAAGACAAGTAGGCAAGTAACTAGAGTGCAAGCCCCTCAATTTTTCATTAATCACTGCAGGAAATCTTGCTTTCGGTTCTTAGTCATTCTGAAATAAAGTCTCTTCAGAGAAAGTCGGATGCGCTGGGTCTAGACCGACCGAAGGTAAATGGTGGCAGTGTTTTGCCAAAGTACGCTGCTGTAGTTTTTTTTTCTTTTTCGTAGACGTTGAGGTTTGAAGGACCAGTGCACACTGATCGTGTGGGCGGAGTCAGTCCTTCATTTTGTGTTCTCGTAATTCTGTCTAGGCAAAGAGGAGTCAATTGGAAAAGTGCAACGTCTCTCCTGCCTCCGCCTATACAGACTGTGGTTTTGAGTCAATCGTTTTCATTGTACACTGTCATTAGTGCTCGTTATCGGCACGAACTAAACAGTATTCGGGACGTTGAACGATTTCCAGAAACATGTCATTCCCTGATTCAATACGTTTGGACCCAATTCGACTACCGCGTCCAACTATTCTACGCGACGATCCACCCCTTACTGACATCAGCAGTGAGTTTTTTTTTGCTTTGATTTTCCAGAAATGTATTCAACACTCAAGGTGCACGTAAATGGGACCAGGTGCTCAACGACGCAGTCTACGATTATCGTTTGGGAGGAGTGAGGCCTCTATTACATATTTCTGATCTGTACTCCCCTTCGGCAACCCCTTTTTAAATTCCCAAAACTCTGAACAAGAGTTGCGCGTGCATGGGAGAGTTACACTGCGCAGGGTGATTGTTTGGGAGTAGTTAGGCATACCATTACATTTACTCTATTTTTACTGCCACTCTGCTTCAGAGCTCTACGACTCTGAAGATGAGTAACGCACGGGAAGTCGCAGAGGTGAGCCTCCCGCCCATATGGCCAGCGTGGACAGTGCATTCCAGAACTACGTTTCCTTCTTCTGTTGGGGATGCACAACAACATGTCGGTTTCTTATAGACCAACGAAATGTGAAGTAGTCAGATGCAGTCCTTCTAGGGGCGCAATCCACATATAGTAGCTCTTAACTGCCAAACTGGCTTGGGCATTGCTCTTGTTAGTGCATCGAAAGCTGATCGCCCTCAGATACAACGGAGGAACTCGGGCCCTAACGGAAGCGCTCTATAGACTACTAAAACTTCTCCAAACATCAAATCAACTCGCCTTGTGAGCCTAACTTCAAACAGGCAGTTGCAGCTCCCCAACTCAGGCGTCAGAAGGTAAAATACTAGGGGTACACTCACACCCGTGAATCCTGATTCTCGCCATGTGGGAGGTAAACAGATCCACAGCTGCAGTAGCGTGGAACATAGCTGAAGGGTAGTGATACCGAGTCGCCGCACGGCCAGCCACTCTCCTCACCGTAGCCAAACGCGGTGCTAGACTGCGTTCTCACATTTCTGGTTGTCCTCTACCGCTGGGTGCGTTTTCCCACTAAGCCCGTTCTCCACCAGTAAAAGAGGCGTTTAAGCGAGAGCAATTAGTGGATACGATTCATACGAACGATAAAATCGCTTGCGGTCGCCGAAAGGAGAAAGGAAGAAAAAGAAGTGGGCTGTGTCAGGGAAAAGCCCTGACACGCCCCATCATTAGCAGCGAACACAACTGTAGCAGATCTTTTTCGGCATTTCGAGCAAGTATTCTACCACGAGTCTGCTTATTAGAGTCCACACAGCAATACCTAGAATTGCTAGATTTACCCAGACCTGAAAATACCTAGTATGAATTTATTTTTTCTGAAAACCCACCATTCGATTTATAGAAATTCCGCTGTTGC